CTCTGACCCTCGAACTACATCTCCAGCTTCTGAACGTTCTCTCTGGCTCTCAAACTTCACTTCAGATCTCCAACCTTGTGTTCTGCTTTTCCAACCTATTTCTGATCCCAAAATGTGACCTTTCAAATTTGTCTCTGCTCCTCAAACCCCATATCTGCTCTCCCCAAACACTATAGCTCTACCCCCAACCTCTCCCTGACTCCTCCACCCATCTGACCCTCAAATTCCACCTCAAAGCCTCCCAAGACTCATCTGCCCCCACCCCACATCTCGGCTCCCTTCAGTCCCAAGAGACCCTCCCTTGAGGGCTGGGATAGGGATGTTACCTGGGGTGAGGGGCTGGGCCTTGGGAGAGTTGAGGGTGCCGGCCTGCTGCCTGCTGCCCGTTGGGGCAGCACTTACTCTAGTAGGGCAGCTGATAAGGAGCTTTCATATCCCCCAGCCTCGAGATAAACTTTATCTCTGTCCGGAGAGTGATAACTGGTGGTGGGGGGGCTGGGCCCCTGCCATAGGAGGGGTGGGCAGCCCTAGAGCCACCAAGGTGCTAGGTGCAGGGATGTGGGGCAGTGGGACTGGAGGGAGATCATGGGGGAGTGGTGAGATGAGGATGAGGGGGGATAAAGGACAGTGGAGACAGATACAAAAAGAAAAAGAGACAGGCAGAGAGAGAAGGAAGGGAGAAACGGAGCGGGGCGGGGGCTAGAAAAAGAGACAGTGACAAACAGCAAGAGACAGGAAGAAAAAGAAAAGAGAAACAGAGAGATAGCAGGAAAGTGAAGGAGACCCAGGAACAGAAAAAGAGCAAGGCAGGAATGCAGAGAGAGCTTCACAGATAGAAAAAATCATGGAGAGATGCAGAGGAAAGAGACGGAAACAGAGGAGGAGGCAAGACACCCTCTCTGGGGAGAATGAGTGGAGATCCTGGGGCCTGGACAAGGCTGGTGGTGGACCCAGCCATGGGCACCTCTCTTTACCCACACAATCATGGGCTCCTCTCTTTACCCATACAAGCCCCAACCCTGAGCCCAACCTTCAGCGTGTTCACACAGTGGTTCATGTAGGCTGGGGCTGTGAAGATGGCCTTCTCCTCTCTCTCTGTTACTCCACCCCAAGGACAGGAAAACAGGCCTTCGGATTCGCAGGGCAAGTCAGGGGCAAGAGTAGGTTTTCTGGCTTCTCACCCGGGCTGTGTGCAGTGGGGTATGGCCAAGCATGTGGGACTAGTAAGACAGACATAGAAATAAAGCCAGAGGGCAGAAAGAGAGAGGAGACAAACAAGCAGAAAGAGACTGAGAGGGAGAGATGCAGAGACATTCAGAGACGTGACTAGAGAGGCAGGGAGAAGTAAAACAGAAAGAGGTAAAAGACATGGAGATGAAGATGGAGAGAGACAACCAGAGATAGAGACATGGAAAGCCAGAGAAAGGGAGGGGGGAAATTAGGCACTCATTAAAGCATAGAAAGAGAGAGGACAAGACATATCATGGTAGCATAAGACGATGGGACAGAAATATGGAGGGCCAGGCTGGAGAAGAGAGAGTGTCGCCAGGAGAGGGACACAGGGACACAGATACACACACAGGGAAGGACAGAGACAAAGGGGCAAAGATGAAGCCGCCATCTCACGGGTCTTAGCTGGGCCCCTGTCACTACCTCCTATCTGGCATATGGGGAAACTGAGGCCTGGGGCTGGCTGGAAATGAAGGAACCCAAAAGCAGAACTATGGTAGGCCTCCCCAGGGCAGACCTGTACCCCTCCTCAGAGGAAGCCAGTAGCCTTGGGGTGATTTCAAAAGTTGGGCGGGGATGGCAGAGATAAGCGATGGGGGGTACTGACCCCCCCCACGGAGTGGGGAGGAACTGAGGGGGCCCTCTGTCTGCAGACCCAACGGAGGTGGGGGGAGGGAGGAGTCAAGCCGGAAACCATGGGTTTCTGAGAAAGTTAAAAGATGCAACAGATAGGGATGAAGTTGGGGAGCACAGGAGGGTGAACCCCAAGGTCCCAGGGGTGACAAGTGACTCAGGGGCCTCTGGCCCTGCACCCCAGCCCATCCCACCCTGACTCCTCTAGAGAGAGAGAAGAGGAGGAGGGGGAGAAAATGAGAAGATAAAAAGATGACCAGAAAGGGAGAGAGAGGAGAAGGATGAAGGAAAAGGAGCACAGGAGAAGGGGAAGTGGACAGGCAGAAGGGAAAGAGAAAATGAGGAGGGGAAGAGATATAGAAATGGGGAAGGCGGAAGAGGTGGCTGATTAAAGAAAAGGGAGAGGAGGAGGGGAATAGATAGAGGTAGAGAAAAGAAGGAGGACCGGGGAAAGAAAGAATGAGGGCATAAGGGGCCCAAAGAGGAGGGAGGAGTGGGAAGAGGAGAGGGGAAAGAGGGGGAGCTGTGGAAGGAGGAAAAAGAAGAGATGGGAGGAGGGAGAGAGAAGGGGAAGCGCAAGGGGAGAAGAGGGAATAAAAGGGAGGTAGAGGAAGGGGGGGGGGCAGAAGGAAGGAGGGGATGATGGAGCGGAAGAAGGGGAGAGATCTGGGGAGGAAAATAGGGCTAGGAAGACTGAGAGAATGGAGTAAGAGAAGGAGACAGGAGGGAAGGGGAGGAGGAGTTTGGAGTCTGAGGACCCCTCCTGTCCTCACAGGTCCCATCCGAGGCCCCATGGAGTTCCCTGGCCTAGGGGCCCTGGGGACCTCCGAGCCCCTACCCCAGTTTGTGGACCCGGCCTTGGTATCCTCGCCACCAGAATCGGGGGTCTTCTTCTCCTCTGGGCCCGAGGGATTGGATGCGGCAGCCTCCTCCACGGCCCCCAGCACTGCCACAGCTGCAGCGGCAGCTCTGGCCTACTACAGGGATGCTGACGCCTACAGGCACTCCCCAGGTAAACTCGTCCGGGTGGCTGTCTTAGCACAGGCTCCGTGCTGTCTGGGTGACCCTTAGCTAGGGCAGAATCCCACTAAGAGGTCATCTTGAAAATGGCAACTTCCCCCAGTTGATGCCAATGCTCCCCATGTGCGGTCTTACTATAGCCATATTGGAAAGCAACGTCGGAAGTGGGTGGTGGCGGCCCTAGTTGTCAAGGGACCCATGGGGCTCTGAATCCCAAAGGGCATTCTCAACGCCCCTTTGGAAACGGGTGGAGGTTACCGCAGCTGCCAAAGTGACCGTGGGGCTCGATGTCCAGGAATTAACCGATGGCCAGCAGCTGTTCTGGTTGCCTGTGGGAAGACTGGAGACTTGGCCACTCAGTCGGAGCTGTGGGGCACCACCATGGCTTTGGACTGATCCCTCCTTCCTTCCCGTACCCACCCTCCATAATAGTCTTTCAGGTGTACCCACTGCTCAACTGTATGGAGGGGATCCCAGGGGGCCCACCGTATGCCGGCTGGACCTATGGCAAGACGGGGCTCTACCCTGCCTCAGCCGTGTGCCCCACCCGCGAGGACTCCCCTCCCCAGGCCCCGGAAGACCCAGATGGGAAAGGCGGCAGCAGCTTCCTGGAGACCTTAAAGACAGAACGGCTAAGTCCAGATCTCTTGACGCTGGGGCCTGCGCTGCCTTCGTCCATCCCTGTCCCCAGCAGTGCCTACGGGGGTCCTGACTTTTCCAGTACCTTCTTTTCTCCCACCGGGAGCCCCCTCAATCCAGCGGCCTATTCCTCCCCCAAGCTTCGTGGAACACTGCCCCTGCCCCCCTGTGGTGAGGTCCCCACAAAGGGACAGGGAGGTTAAAATCGGGGTGGGGGGTGTCCAAGGCAAAGCTGAGCCTGGGCTTCCTCATCCCCTCTGTCCACCCCATCAGAGGCCAGGGAGTGTGTGAACTGCGGAGCAACAGCCACTCCACTGTGGCGGCGGGACAGGACGGGCCACTACCTATGCAATGCCTGCGGCCTCTACCACAAGATGAATGGGCAGAACAGGCCCCTCATCCGGCCCAAGAAGCGCCTGGTAAGACCCCAGGCCTGCCTCCCCTTCCCTAGGAACTGTTCTGGACCTGTGCAGGGATCCCTGTCCTCCTGCTCTATGAGAACCCATATCCCCCAACCCATCCCTTCCCCATCCATGCAGGAACCCAGCTTTGCATAGGAACGCCTGTCCTCAACCTACCTTCATAGGCTACTTCCAGGAACCCTGTCTTGTCCTGCACCACAGCCGTGTTTTCCTCCTTGGGTTCACATGGGACTCACCTTAGGACAACCTGAACCACCAGGGGCCTGGCACCCTCCCCTAGATGTGCTGATTTCATTGGCCTAGGGTGTCATCTGGGCCTTAGGATCATTTTCAACTCCCTGGGTGATTCCAATGTATGGCCAAAATTGGGAATCACCCCCGACACCAAAATCCCCAACCCTGGCCAGGAAGCCCTGTCCCATACAGAACCCACAGTCATCGTCCTGTTAAGTATATCTGTTCTTACCCTGCACCGGAAGCCCTACCTTCAACCCAGCCCTGACCTCTTGGGTCCCCTAAGCATCTCCCCTCCCGCCAGTGGGCTGATCTTCACATTTTCTCTCCCCCAGATTGTCAGCAAACGGGCAGGTACCCAGTGCACCAACTGCCAGACAACCACCACGACGCTGTGGCGGAGAAATGCTAGTGGGGACCCTGTGTGCAATGCCTGTGGCCTCTACTACAAGCTACACCAGGTTTGTCTTGCCCCATCCCCCACCCCAGCCTCCCTCTTCCCCTGCTCCTGTTGCATCCCCATGTCTACTTGCCCTCATAACTCTCCCCTCTCCCCACCTTTTCTGCTCCCTCCTTCCTTCTCTATTCCCCTCCACCTTGGTCCTCATCCCTCCCTCCTCCCATTCCTTCATCTCTTCACACCCTTCCATGACCTCCTGACCCTCCTCCTTCCTCCTTGGGATTCCTTAGGTCAGTCCCTGCACCATACCAGAGTCATGCTCCCCTAGTCCCTGAAATAATTCCCTATGCTTAACGAGGTGGGATGGAGATGGCCTCCCTGGTCAAGACACAGAGGCAAAGATGTGGAGTTGGGAAACACCCTGGGCCTCCCTTTTGGCAGGTGAACCGACCACTGACCATGCGGAAGGATGGTATCCAGACTCGAAACCGCAAGGCATCTGGAAAAGGGAAAAAGAAACGAGGGTCAAGTCTGGGAGGTACAGGAGCAGCTGAAGGACCAGCTAGTGGTTTCATGGTGGTGGCCGGGGGCAGCGGGAGTGGGAATTGTGGGGAGATGGCCTCTGGCTTGACGTTGGGCCCGCCCAGCACTGCCCATCTCTACCAAGGCCTGGGCCCTGTGGTGTTGTCAGGGCCCGTGAGCCACCTCGTGCCTTTCCCGGGACCCCTGCTAGGTTCCCCCACAGGCTCCTTCCCAGCAGGTCCCGTTCCTCCCACCACCACCACCACCACTGTGGTGGCTCCACTGAGCTCCTGAGGGCACAGAGCATGGTCTCGGGGCTGGGGCAGGGACCCTCTCCTGTGTGGGTAGCAGTTACTACAACCCAGCCCTCTGGGCCCAGCCACCCCTTGGCCTGGACCTTCAAAGCTTTTGTAAAATAAAACCACCAAAGTCCAAAGTCCCAAGAGTGGAGGTGTGAGTCTGTGTGGGACCAAATCAAGAACGACGGGAGGGAGGTCATGTGTCTGGGTGTCTCTGAGGACAGCGTCTGGTGTGGGCGCCTGTGTGACACTTCACGATTGTGGGTTGTGACATGCAATTGTGAACAGTGTTTGTGAAAGCACGTGTGGCAGCTTCTAGGTGGCCCGAGATGGCATGGGTAGCCACATACCACAGGGTGAGATACGGCATGTGATTGAGGGGGTGAGGCTCTGCAAGACGGGGTGCGTGACACACGGCAACAGCGGGAGCCAGGGTAAAGGCAACTACAGGAGAGGACGTGGAGTGCATGTGCGGCGGCACATGCGGGAGGAATGCATGGCATGGTGTCCATGTGACTGCACGCCACGTTGGGGTGATCTTTGAGACAGTGTGATGGCCTATGTGTGGGGCACAGACCTGGACGGACAGATGCTTCTGGAACGCTGAACGCGGGCTGTGTGTGGGGGCACGTGAAGTCTAACAGCAGCACCACGGGGGTCTGCACATCCAGTGAGCCCTGGGGCTCGGGTAACGGCAGCATTTCTCTGCAAGTCTACACGTGTGGGAGTGCAGATCCCGTGGTGTGTGCCAGGCCACAGTGTCTCTTGAGTGGCTGTCAGGTGTGAGCAGTTCTGTGTGTACTTGTTCGTGGAAAGTATCAACATGAAGAGTTTCAGCTGAGTCTACATCAGGGAACCCCTTTCCAGAGGACACAAGACATGTGCTGGAGAGGAAAGGGGGGCGGAGGGGAAGGGGGGACTGGAATGGGAGCTGTCCAGAAGGTCAGAAGGCCAGTGTGGGACCACGGGGCTGTCCGGGGGACCTTCCCTGTCAGTCATCGCTTATCTCTTTGGGCCCAGCTCGGCCTGCAGCTCTGTGGGAAATGGTAGAGAAAGAGAGGGGAAGATTAGGAGGACAAAATAACTTCTGGGGGTGATATTTAGACCCCGTAGGTGGGGGGAGCCCCCCCCCCACAATGCCAACTCCCACACCAACGCACCTACTCACCTGGGCCAGCTGTCCCCACCCTCAGAGTAGAATCTGTTCTTCCAAAATGGAAAACCCGCGTTGGTGGTATAGTGGTGAGCATAGCTGCCTTCCAAAATGGAAAACCCTGGGGCACCAGTGTGGCTCAGGCAGTTAAGCTTCAGACTCTTCAGATGAGGTCTTGATCTCAGGGTCATGAGTTCAAGCCCCATGTGGGGCCTACTTAAGGAAAAAAAAAAATTCCAAAATGGAAAACCCTTACATAGGAGCCTGTGTGGAGTCAGGTGACACCCCGAGCCAGAGAGGTTAAGTCGCTCGCTGGAGGCCACATAGCTGGAGACAGGGGGCTAAGCCAGGTTCTGTGGCTTAGTCTCCATACCACCCAGCAGCTCCTGACAGCAAGGAGCCCCATTTGCTGAGCATTTACTGTGCGTCGGGCAATAGCTGGGAAGCTTCAGTTGCTTTAGTTCATGAACACCTGGAAAAAAAAAATACTCCAAGGAAAGGAAAGTATACTACACACTTTACATTTCTGTTTTGCTAATGAAAAAGTAAGGCTCACAACTGGTGTTACTTGCCCTGGCCACACAGAGTTTAAGGAGTGCATTTTGGATACCACTTCCCCGCCATGTGAGTCTTGCTCACACTTAACTGGGCTGCCTCTCTCTCTACCCCCCACCCTTGCTCTTGCTCTCATCACTCAATCCACTCACATCTGAATTTGCTTTTGGGTTGCTTCTCTTTATGGCTTTCCCCTAGAGCCCCAGAGCAAGGACCGTGGGCCCGTGGGTCCTGAACATAGTAGGGGTAAGCAGATGTCCTCAGGACAGCTCTCCTTCAGCTACTGGCCAAGCAGAATCATGGCAGTCCATGTTCATTACAGGGATTGTCCAGAACTTCCCTGGTCTTTGTAAAAGCCTCCTGCCTCCCTGGCCATCCCACAGAACCCCAGCCCTCTTAACCTGCAAGAGCCCCTGTCCGCATCTGGAACAGAAACCCCTCTCAGAAACTGTGCTGGACATGTGCCTGGCCCTCCCTTGCTCAGGAGCCCCAGCTCTTACCTCCCAGAACAGCTGCCCTAGCCTGACACTCTAAGGGAACCCTTTGTCTAATTAGCAACAGGAAACCCATGCTGACCCTGGACAGAAGCATCAGCCCTCACCTTGCTTTGGAGGAAGCCCTGTCCTCCCATGGCACAGGAACCTTGGACTCAGGCCAGTTAGGAATCTGTGAGCTCACACTCTAAGGAAGCACTTTCACCACCCTTTAGAAACACTTGTGCTGGGGCAACTGTGTGGCTCAGTCGGTTAAGCAGCTGCCTTTGGCTCAAGTCATGATTCCAGGGCCCTGGGATAAAGCTCCATATTGGGCTCCCTGCTCAGCAGGGAGTCTGTTTCTCCCTCTCCCTCTGACCCCGCCTGTTTGTGCTCTGTCAAATAAAAAAATAAAAATTAAAAAAAAGAAAGAAACACCTGTCCTGACCCTCTTTGGTAGTCTCGATCTCTCTATAGAAAACCTGCCTTGACTTTGGACAGGACACCTCTGTCTTCACACTGTACTGGAGCTCAGCCCTCCAGACAGCATTTTAGAAATACTTGCATCAATAAAATTTAGTTCTGAACCACTGACCTAGCTCTCTCTGCAGAAACTTTCTTCAACCTCTTTTGGAACTCGCAATTGAATATAGAAGCTCTTGTCTCCATTGTTGATAATGACCCTTGATGTCACTCTGCACCACAATCTCTGATCTCACACCCTAACCTGTAGAGTCCACAAAACCCATGATCCAACTCTTTTTTTAAAAGATTTTATTTATGTGACAGACAGAGATCACAAGTAGGCAGACAGGCAGGCAGAGAGAAGAGGGGGGAAGCAGGGTCCCTGCTGAGCAGAGAGCTCGAAGCAGGGCTCAATCCCAGGACCCTGAGATCATGACCTGAGCAGAGAGAGAGAGAGAGAGAGAGCGCTCATGCGCGAGGTGGTGGGGAGGGGCAGAGGGAGAGAAAGAATCTTAAGCAGACTCCCTGCTGAGCATGGAGCCCACAGCGGGACTCTATCCCAGGACCCTGAGATCACAACCTGAGCTGAAACCAAAAGTTGGACACCTAACCAACTGTGCCAGCCAGGCGTCCCCACTCCCGGCACTGTAATCCAATTCTTAACATGAACCTCAGTCTTGAACTTACAACCCTTTCCTAAAAAAAAAACAAACAAACAAAAAAAAAACAACCTTTTCTGAGCTTGTGGTAGGGATGGATGCCTGTCCTGAACCTCTAGTTTAGGCCTAGACCTCATCTTACACAGTTACCTATGGCCTCACCTGGCACAGGAACCCTTACACTGTACAGGGCTTTCTATCTTTACCACATGTTAGCTTCGTAGCCCTGACCCTCTACAGGCAGCCTTGCCTACAACTGTACTAGAACCCTCTGACTGGACTTTCCATAGAAAACCTTTTCCTCTCAACAGAAATCCTTAACTCCACTCGCAGGAATCTCTGGCCTGATCCTTTATAAAAAAAGATTTTATTCATTTATTTGACAGTGAGAGAGCAAAAGAACATGAGCAGGGCGAATGGCAGAAGGAGAGAGAGAGAAGCAGGCTCTCCGCTGAGCAGGGAGCCCAACACAGGGTTCGATCCCAGGACCCCGGGAAGGCAGATGCTTAACTGACTGAGCCACTCGGGCACCCCTCTGGCCTGATCCTTTATAGGAACTCCTAACCTTGCTTTCTGGAAACATTTTCTTAACCCCAAACAGGATGTCCTGACGTGACTCTCTCTGACAGCCCTGGCCCTGGCCCTGTCCTTGTCCTGGAAGCCCCACCTTCCCCCCTTTGCAGGAACCATTATTCTGACTGTGGCTAGCAGCTGCCACATGGGACTGATAGCTCTGTGGGGTCTGTAGACTCCTGTAGTAGGCCCTGCTATAGGTTTTTCAAACCTGTGTTCTCCTGAGCTCACTCACTTTTCTGACCTCCCTTACAGTGAGATGTGGACATGTGACAGAATTCTGACCAATGCAGTATGGGCAAAGTGATATACACCACTTCCAAGCCTGGCCCATAAAAATCTCTCATGGAATCCTTCACTCTCTTTCTTTTCCCATACCAGCTCAATAGTGCAAACTCCAAGGATTCAGAGGACAGCAGAGCCACAAAGTGGAAGTTGCCTGGGTTTCTGAATGATCAGTAATATTCACATTGGACTTTATATGAGCAAGAAATAAACATTTATTTGTTAATTGTCTAATATTCTGGGTTTGTTACAACAACTAGCATAATTTAGCCCAATTGGGATGCCTGGGTGACTCAGTCGGTTAAGCATCTGCCTTTGGCTCAGGTCACAATCCTGGAATCCTGGGATCAAGCCCCATGCTCTCTGCTCAGCAGGGAGTCTGCTTCTCCCTCTACCTCTCACACACACTCATGCTCTCTCTCTCACACATGCGGTCTAATAAATAAATGAGATCTTTTAAAAAATTTAGCTCAATCTTTAAAAAAAAGGGGGGGAGGGGCGCCTGGGTGGCTCAGTGCGTTAAAGCCTCTGCCTTCCGCTCAGGTCATGATCCCAGGGTCCTGGGATCGAGCCCCGCATCGGGCTCTCTGCTCCGCGGGGAGCCTGCTCCCTCCTCTCTCTGTGCCTGCCTCTCTGCCTACTTGTGATCTCTGTCAAATAAATAAATAAAATCTTAAAAAAAAAAACAATTCCTTGATCGAATCTAGACATGAACACCTGTACCTACTGCCTACATTAACATAGCTCTGAACCTGTAGAGAAATACTTGTGCTGAGCCTGAACTGGATCATCTGATCTCTTTGTAGGAAACTCATAATGCAGTCTAAGGAGCCTCATCCTGAACTTGTTTGGGAACCCCTAGTCTGGAGCTCTCCTTAAACAACTGTCTTGCCCTGCATAGAAATCCCTACTTGGTTCAGGAGAGGAACAAAAGCATAGAAACTACAGGAAGCCCTGTCCTCACTCTGTCCAGGAACACTGACCCAGTAGAACACCAAAAGTGACCTGATCCTGTCCATGAATCGCAGTCCTCACACAAAAGGAATACCTCTCTTCAGGAAGCATGGAAACTCTGCACTCAATCCTGTGAAAGAATCCCAGCCAGATAAAGGAAACCAAAGACTGACACTCTACAGCAGGATCAGAAAACTATAGCCTTCAGGCCAAAGTCAGACTTCAGCTGGTCTCTTCATTTTTTAAAAAAGAATTTATTTATGGGGCGCCTGGGTGGCTCAGTCGTTACGTGTCTGCCTTGGCTCAGGTCATGATGCCAGGGTTGTAGGATCGAGTCCCACATGGGGCTTCTCCCTCTGGCCCTGCTTGTGTTCCCTCTCTTACTGTGTCTCTGTCAAATAAATAAACTCTTTTTTAAAAAAGAACTTATTTATTTATTTGACAGAGAAAGAGAGAGCACAAGCCCGGGGAGCTGCAGAGGGAGAGGGAGAAGCAGGATCTCCACTGAGCAGGGAGCCTGATGCGGGGTTTGATCCTAGGACCCTGAGATCACCACCTGAGTGGAAGGCAGATGCTTAACTGCTTGAGCCATGCAGCTGCCCTCCCACCCCCGTTTCTTCGTTTTTTTTTTTTTAATTTATTTGACAGAGAGAGATCACAAGCAGGCAGAGAGGCAGGCAGAGAGAGAGAGAGAGAGAGAGAGAGAGGAGGAAGCAGGCTCCCTGCAAGCAGAGAGCCTGATGTGGGGCTCGATCCCAGGACCCTGAGATCATGACCTGAGCGGAAGGCAGAGGCTTAACCCACTGAGCCACCCAGGTGCCCCCCCCCGTTTCTTCGTTTTTAAAGGAAAAGAAAGAACATGCCACAGAAACCATTATGTGGCCAGCAAAGCCTAAAATATTTACTATCTGGCCCTTTATAGACAAGTTTACTGACCTCTGCTCTTCAGGAATCTGTCTTCTGACTATAAAGAAAAATGGGCCATGGGTCTTAAAGGGCTCCTTTCTCTATTACTCTGCAGGCATCACAACCCCCAGAATGTTCCTCAGCGTGTATCACATTTTCTTTGGAGCACATGGAGGCTTAAAAGTCTTA